TGTAATTTATTCTTTTTTTTTTTTCTGTGTGTGTGAGAGAGTAAACGAGTACGTAGTTGGGAATATATTTGCAACAAAAATTAAAAAAAAAAAAAAAAAAAAAAAAAAAAAATCACGTTATTTTTATTTGAATTGTAGCAATTTGTCAGAAATGTAACTACAAAATTAGTTTCATACTGATGTAGTATAGCCAATATATTTTTGTGTTGATTTGCAGGGTGACATGTGTCATGACTGCTTGGTGGCCACATTCTGCAGAGCTTGTGTTTGGTGTCAGATGTCACGAGAGATGAAGGCACGAAATCTACAAATCACTCTTATTGGTGCCAGGAATTTGTAATGTGTTTTGAAGCAGCTATGCTGGTGTGTAAATGATAAGAATCCTGACACACTGAAAGGCAGATATGTTTATTAATAGATCTCACTAACTGAATCACTTTTATATTGCATACTGTAAGATGCTTATTATAATAATTATGATTTTCTGTCCGTTCCTGATGTAATTTGTGATGAAACGCAAGGATATTTAAGTTCTTTTTCTACTAAATGCAATGTCCGTTTTGTTGTGTATATTTAATGTCTGTTACTCAGTTTCTAATCGGCATCATCAATATCATGAAAAGTGTGATCAACTAAATTAGTGTTCGACATAGTTGGATAGATGTGATAGTGTTGTATATTTGTGACAATATTGAATGTACTCTATCATTGGTAACAACATACAACGTTTAAAACGTTTCTGTTTTTGTCTTTATAAAGCTTATTAAAACAATACAGAAATGCATAAAATGGCTTGGGGGAAAAACACTTTTTGTCACCAGGATTGAATTTAATTTAAGCAATATGTAAAGTAAAAAGAAAAGTATGACGTGTATTGCTTCGCATGTTTGCTTTTTTGTGTTTGCCTTTATTTTAAGACTGAATATCTTTCAGTTGTTACACAATACATTATTGATCATTTTCTTTGACACTTTCCTGTTTCATGTCTCTGGAAAGGTGGTTTGTGTCTGTTATTTGCATAACGATATGTTTGTAAAATTCCTGTAGTCTACATTTTCCTGTTTTCACGTGACTTTGTTGATGCACTAAATTACTTCTTATTACTCCCATTACATTCTTATTAGTAGTAGTATAGGATATAACTTTTATTTTAAATGTTTGATAAATAACGCAGAACATTATAGACATATTAGGAGTTATGAACATGACCTTTCAATTTTCTTTCAATATTGATATTATTTTTAATCTTTTTGGGTGTTGGCATTGTCACATACAGCAGCTACAATGCATGTGTGTTTTGTGTCCCCCTGCTGACATATTCTACAGATTAAAAACAAACAAAAAAAAAACAGCAACACCTCTGTCAAGTTGACAGCATACCTGCACAACAACATACTTGCACAAAAATGGCATCAAGGTATCCAGCACAAAAAAATTCTTAACCTCTTCTCTAGAGCTGTGTGAGTTTATTTTGTAATCAGTTTGAAAGCCTAGTAAAAAAAAGTAAGAAAGTAGCCTCATAGATAAGTTTAAAATAAGAAATAAAGTCAGATTTTGAGATAATTCTTAAGCTATAAAGTTGCAATTACAGGCCAGAATAAAAAGTTACACAAAACACTTTTTAAAAAAGAGTCGTAATTAGAAACATTGTCGCAGTTGTGACATATAAAGTCGCAATTAACCTAAAGAGTACTGGTGAAACGTCTATTATAGGCCATAATGACATGTTTGCCCCATATATTTTTAATTAAATCATCAGTGGGTGTTAAATGCAGAGCCTAACCAACCAAACCTTGATCCCACGACTGTAAAGACGCCTTCATTTAAACAACAGGCCGGGTAGCTCCGCCCACACTGACATATCATTGGACAGAAGTGCCGCTGCTTATGTATATTAATCATCGTGGACGAATAGGGCGTGCACTGTACTGACTGTGTTTTTGTGACCGTGCCAGTGTAAACTGTCAAATTGCTTGTCGATGGAATCTAGTATCGTTTCATAAGAAGTAACCAAATGTGTTCTTAAAAAGAGAATAGTTGAAACGTAAATCTTACTTTGAATTCACTATGAGAGACAGGTAAACAAATTAGTGCATTTTTGTAATTGCCAAAATTAAATGAACCCTCTGGTATTGTTCGGTCATTTTAGACCGAAAAAAATTATGTTTTGAGTTTTTAAAAATCGCTACACCATCCGAAACTCGGATAAAAATAAAAATAAATAAATAAAATAAAATAAACAAATTAATTAATTAATTAATTAATAAAATCCATGGACTCGATTCTAAAAAGCTAAATGTTCGTACACTAAATGTGTCACACTTGAGTTGCTCGCGGTTAAAAATGACTGCCGTTGGAAATAAATGGGAAATAGCCTACGCAAAATTGTAATCTCTTTACTTTTAATCTCTTACTTAATCTATATTCAAAGTCAGAATACATAAATATCATGTACTTTTACTGTGCTTATTTCACATTTTTATCAGCATTCTCAACTTATCAGCATTCATTCTCCTTCACTTTTATTGTATAGAAAACAGCTGCCCTATATCGCCAATGAAGATGGGTCTTGAACGTCATTTATGACTAAACTAGGCCACTTCATCTACTACTGGCTAAATGGCAGCTCTACCTTCATGTTTAAATCTGCTGGATAGCCTACAACTCTTCTGGTGTATCGTAACCTATCCCAGTCTTCAAGCAGAAAGAGATTGATGCCGAGTTTTATTAAATAAAATAAATCCAACAATCTGACCTGTGATGCAGTCTTTTGTGACGCACACCATGTTCATTCAATTAGGCCTGAGGAGAACTGGTCGCCTGACTTAGCCTGGTTTCTCCCGAGGTTTTCTTTCCTCCATTTCTGTCACCTGATGGGGTCTGGGTTCCCTAGGTGCCACTGTCACCTAGATATTATTATTATTATTATTTATATTATTCATATTATCGATTTGATGGCACTGACACTATCAGATGAGAAGAAAACTTGAATTGGATTAAGCTGAATAAAGACTAATGAACTGCTTTATAGCTGCTTTATAGCTGAATTGAATATGATCATAATGGACAAATTCTGCAACATCAACAATGTTGTCAGAAGTCAACAGTGGGTCAAAGTCACCTACATGTTGGATGGCCTGAGTGTGAGTAAAATTTTCATTTTTGGATTTCTTCACTTTAAGATTCCTGTCTTTATGAGCATCATTTAACAGAGAAACAGCAGTTTATCTGTTGTTTATGATGCTCCAACTCATTCACTTTTCCTTAATAATTTTAGTACCATTTACTGTTTCTCTTGTAAGAATACAAAGAGCGAGGGGAGGAGACATTTCAGTCACATCCATTCACGTTGAATCAGACAACACAACCCCCTTTTTCCCTTTACTCACTTTACTGGACATGTTTTCAGGTTTAGCAGCATATTTTCTATGCTTCAGTTTTTTTTTTCCAGTAAAGAAATCTTGCATATATAAATACGTCCACTTTTTACTTTCTTTTGACAGAAAAAGGATCAGCTGCACTAAAACGAGTAAGTAAGCCATTTCTTATTGTTTCACTCTTTTTTCAGCAGTTAAACCAAATGTATAATTTACATTCTGTTTTTTTTTTTTTTTAATTTGACAAAGGTTGGAAAAACAGGTGAGAACTTTTAGATTTTTTTAATTTATTTATTATTTATTTTTTTAGAATTTTAAAGTTTCCTCTTTTGAAATGTTTGTCTACTACTCGGATGCTAAATTGTCTATTTATTATATTTGTGTACACTATTAATTAGTTAATGCTCTTTTTGTAAATTACTTTGCAAACCTGAACACAAAACTATTTATATGATTGTGTGCACCCTGAACATGAATTATGGGTGAAATGTGAAAACCATATATTAGTCACAACAGACTCATCTGTAAATCATCTGTAAGTACAATGGATATGAAATAAATTATTTTAATTTAGGAATGTACACAGAGTGTGTATACAATTAAATTTTCTTTGTAATTCTGTAGCATTGTACAATGCTGGATTTTATATTCTTTTGAATTTAAAAAATCTAATAATTAAACATTATTCTGATCACTACAACAAATGATTGATAGAACGATATTCATTCATTTGGAAATTTGACAATAGATAAATAGATTACAGTTATTTATTTTGTGGTTATTATCTTTGTTGTACATTCATATACATTCACTGTCCTCACACGCCTTAAAAAAACGTTGTAGTTATACATCAGAGTAAAGGTCTTATTTTTTATAGTTATTTTTGAACTATGAAAAACTTAAAGTGTGCATAAAATATTTGGGTCAGCTAGTGGAAACTGTTTTAAACACGTTGCTAACAAAGATTTCTGGATCTAAGTTGACTTTAGTTTCCAAAGTTGAATTACTTTCAACCTTCATAAAACATACATCAACAGTATTTCCTCAAATGTTGTCCAACTCTGAACTTGCCAAACAGGGTTGTTAGAACTGTTTAGAACAGTTTCATTCTATGCAATGTATGCATGCATGCTTTTGAATTTGCATACAACTAGAATTCCTTGCATTACTAAACTCAATTCAATAGACGGTCCATAATTCATTAGATTATACAAAATGTAACAACATTCTTTAAATTCCTTTAGCTTTCTTAAGTAAACTCAATCATTTTAGTTGGGTCTTCACCAAAAATGGCTTGTAATACGATATCTTGTTTTTCTTTTTCTTAAGTGTGATCATCAGTGCAGAAGTTCAGTTTACAGTGCCGGTTTTCAGTAACCATTTACTTAGCTTTGAGTATTTTAATCAGAGAGTAGTTTAAAATAACATATATCACTAGGATCAGGGAAACCTTAATAGATAAAGTCATTATGGCGACTGTAGTTGTGCAGCAGCCTCTCGGCAAGGCTGGGATGGAAGCTTGGAATTCAGGAATATGTGACTGTTGTGAGGACTTGAATTCTTGTAAGTATGCTTGAAGGCCTTATAATAAATATTACAGATCCATTTTTTTTTTACTGTTCATTAGAATTAGATGCAAATTATATCACATTATGTGCATTTTTGGTCCTCAGGCTGCTATGCATACTGGTGCTTTCCTTGCTTTACCTGCTCCACCACAGGAAATTTTGGAGAGAGCACTTGTCTCCCTCTGTTGGACATATTCGGCCCAGCTCTCATGGCCGCATTTGGAATTGGACTATGTGTTCCGCCTGTGGGTCTGGCAATGAGGGTGGCAGTTCGCTACAAGTATCATATTGGGGTGAGTTTTTCCTGTCCCTCTACCGATACAAGAAAGAGGGCCGCAAAACAATCATTTGTTTGTATGTGTTGCAACAGGGCAGTCTTTGTGAGGACATCATGGTGACTTGCTGTTGTATCTGGTGTTCTTGGTGTCAGATGAGTAGAGAAATCAAAGCACGCAAAAAAGTTGTCAGAATATTGCAAAGAAATCCCATGATTCAACCAGTTCCAATGGCAGTCAACCCACAACTTGTCACTATGCAGCAGCCGAGAGTGATCGGCGCCGCACCAGTAGGAGCTGGTCCTGCAGTCCAGATGGGCCCAATTAAGACTGGTGTCCCGCCTTTTGCTATGTAGAAGTTCACTGCAGGTCTGCCACACAAGTGATCCATATAGCTAACCTGTTTAATCAATATAAATGATTTTGTGTGAATGGAATGAATTGGGTGCATTTGGAAAATATGTTTATATTGTTTACCTTATAGGTTTTGTTTTTTTTTCTTGTTTGATTTATGGAATCAGACTTATTCAAATTATTATTTTTTAATGATTTAATAAAAACTGAGATTGTTCTAGAAGTCTTGTTTTCTTCAACAATGATGATTCTTGACTTTGTCTGTTAATAACTTTGAGTCTTACATAGCAGATGTGAGCACAACTTTGAAGAAAACTGATGAACTGTGTACAGGCATAAATGGATAAATACAGTTATATGCGGCTTTCACGTTTACAGTGTGCAGTGTGCTTCA